AGTTTAATTAGTTAACTAATGTGTGAGACTCCACGAGTTTCTTGTTTTTGGGTAGCTATTTATAGACGAATCTATTGACCGCAAATTAGTTGTTTCTTCATCCCAATTCCCAACCCCCTCCCTTTTTTTACACGGTGATTAAGAAATTATTAAGGGCATAGGATAGTAATCACATACTTTTATGATAAAATTATCATTTGTCCCTTATAAGTTTATAATTATAAAAATCTCTCAAACTGATACAATAATATAACCATTGATACATTAATATGATGCGCGAGATACATTAATCGTGAAGTAAGATACATTATATTTTATATATAATACACTAATCTGATGTACATTTTACACCTGATACGCTAATCTGATATGTGAAAATGAGGGATTTTGAAAATTTATAAAACTTATAGGGGATAATGATGATAGAGAACTTAAAGGTGAGATTTCTGTCATTTATCCATTTGATTAACTTTACTTTTTATGTTTTACATTAGTTGATTACTTTTTATTTTGCACGATACTTAAGAAATCATAATTTTAATAATTCACCTCTAAAAAGAATTTCTTGAAAATTTTACAAGCAAATATGAGTATTCTAAAAAATAATTAATTACGTGGCTAATATAGGAAAAATGTAATTAATATTGATTTGATTTAGTGAAGTGATCAATTAATATTTAGTTTAATGAATAACTAACTTGAGACGGAGCGAGTATTATTTTGCTCTTTGTTCGCATTAATTAGCCTCTTGAAAAAAGATATTTTGGATATTTCAAAGGTCATATTAAAGGATAAACTGAGAAAAAAAGAAAGTAATTCTATCCTAATTTTAGTAAGTAATTAAGTAATATGTGATAAATATTTTGTTGTTCATCTAACATGAAAAGAAGAGAGTAATGTATTGTCAACAACTTTCGTTCAATCATTTAGTATCGTTTATTCATTGACCGGATTAATTTTAAATTCATACATGTTGTACATGTTAAAGCATCCACTCATTTCTTGATGAAAGAAAGTCTTTTTTATCATCAATAAAATCGAAAGAAAGAAAAAAAATTAAATATATTCATTTAGATTGAATATGGATGAAAGAATTCACTATATAGCTTTTTATTGGTGCATCATAAACTCTGACCGCTACGTTAGACAGCCTTAAACATTTTCCAAAACAAGATGTGAAGATTCTTTCCATTAATTTTATGAAATTAAATATGAGGCTTATTAATTGTCCTAATATGTATTAACCCCCAACCGTTACAAGAAAACACCAACTCAGAGTGGATAAGATCCTATTCATCATGAGATGCTGGACTTTACTAATTAATCCGTAAGATAATGTTTAGTGTAATCTCCGCAATAATTATAAAATCTTATTTAAAAAATGTGTATTATATAATGCAACTACCGGCTTAATGGCCTCGTAACAGCAATTATAGCTACGTTTAAAGGTGGTAGCTTTAGTGAAATTAAAGTTGCAGCAAGTAATGATTGTTTTCTCTCATTTTCTTTTCAAAGTAAAAATATTACTTTGGTTAAAAAATAATTGATCGTAATGTTTTTGACCTTTGAGAAAAGTAAAGACGTCAGAGGATTAACGTTTTAATGGAATTTTGTATCCAGCAAAAGACATTTCTGATTTCACGTGTTAATAAAATTAACAGTCTCGTGTTTCATTCTAAAATTATTTATATTACTTCGATATTAGATTCTATGTAATTATTCTTTTTTTTATATATATTTTTAACGGGTGTTCGAAATTCACATTAGAGCTTTAACTAAATTTAAATCGCGATATGAAGGGAACATTTAGGAGTGTCGCTCTCACAACATAATTTTCTTCATATTCAAAATTTGAACTCGAAACCTCTGATTGAGGGTGAGCGTTCCACTAATACACCACAACCCAAGTTGATCTCAATAATTATCTACTTCATTTTTTTAAGCTTTAATTTTTCATATTTTAATAAAATGGGAAAACGTGTTTTGTTTATATATGATTTTGAATAGACATGACTGATGGATTAAGTAAATTATATTATAGCATGTGCATTGCATGAATGACATAGATACCTTATATGATCATGAAGTGGTTAAATTCAACATGTGTATTCCAAATAACATAGATACCTTATTTGATCATGAATTGATTAAATTCAAATTGTTTGATAAACAACCTCCTTCTTGTCATAAATTCATTAACAGTTCGATTAATTATATTAATCTTACCAAACAAAAGGTTCGGTTAATTCACTTAAAATGAAATTATAATATCAAAAATAAATTAAAGCTACAATTAACAATACAAATAAAATTATGAATACAAAATCTTTTATGTACAATATTATATAATCGAAGGATTTTTTGAGTGAATATGTACTTATCTATCACATCTTAGGTCTGAGTTTTGCAAAATTCGGCAAATCGGTTATTTTTCTGATAGTGAATAATTTTGTTATATAATTTTTTTAAATTATAATTTTTAAAGACATTAATAAAAAATACTAATTACTTCTAAATTTTTTTTAATAGTAACTAAATTATTATCATTATTTAATTATCGTTGAATTAAAGATTATTTTTTATTTAGTAATATATCAAATGTGACTCCTACTAATTAATTAATGAATGAACTATCCTCTACTAATATGTTATAGACTGAAACGTGATAATCTAAAAAAAGGACCCTCATGTTAGCAACGTGGATTAAGATACCTTTGTGTCATTTTCTTGCAAATATATATATATATTTTAATTCGATAGCTAATATAAAAATTATTAAGCTTCATTAATAAAATAATAGTTCAGATAATCAATCAACTGAGCTGTCAAGATTTTTTAAATATCTTTTATGTCATTTTCTTGCAAATATCTTTTCTTTTGAGGTATGTTTGTATTTACATATTTAATATGCCACATGAGAATTAAAATATGATATAAATATATACTATATATTTCGGCACAATATATGGATTCCTTCCTGCTGGAATTTTTATTAAAAAAAAAAAGAGAATTCGATCTGTAGTTAGTGAAATCAGAATATAATCGTGATTTGTGAGGTTATCAATTTGACTTTATTTTAATGGAAATGTTCTCCAACATTTTGGTAAGCAGATCGATCAGTGTGTTTATGCAATTATCTTTGGAAAAATAAAAAAGTACTTATTATATAAATGAAATGTGGGGTGCAACTCTTGCTGATCTGGTTTTAACATTTGAATAAGTATACTTAATTGATTTGGTTTTCTTTTAGAGAAATTTAATAATTTGTTATGAGTAACTTATAAAGGTACCACTAATTAGGAATTAATTATTAAACCCTAATTTATAATATTATGAATTTTATTAGATTCTCTGATCGCTTCTTTTTCTATTCCGCTCACCTCGAGTCACTCAGTCTCTTGCTCGCTTGTTTCTGGAATGATGTGTGGCTGTCAAAATATATCGATATGCTATTGAGGTTTAAACGCAGAACTTCTTTATTCATCAAATGAACAATAGTCATTTTCACTGCGTCAAAGATATATATCCTTCAAATGCATAATTATATATATAATGTAACTTTCTGATGAATTTGGACACTCAAGATGGCTATAGCTTCACCTTATCTAGATATATCTAATTTGAATTTGATATGAAATTATTAATTAATAAAATAATATTAAATTATAAGAAAAAATTAATAAATCAAATCTTCGTCCAAAAAGAAAGTGAATAATTGTTATATGTCGGTTGAGAAAGGATTTGAAACAGAAAAGGCCGATTATAGAAAAGACGTTTTTGTTTTATCAAATTATTTTCCTAGCAATTCATTTTCTTTCTATGCAAATTATAATTAAATAATTTGATTTATATATTATTAGATTTAATCGCAATTATTTGTATTTAGTTTATGAGTTCTTTTTTATCAGATTATTATCATATTAATCTCTCGCAAAAATTTTAATAAAATCTCTCTCACTTAGTCATCAACTATTCCAATAATGACCATTATTTTCATAATAATAATAATAATAAAATATAATGCATCAACGGACATTAAATAAGAAATAAAATAAAGTAATATAATCATGTTTCATTTTTTTCCTCTTATTCACGTGAATTTGTCGTTCAATTTTAATTAATATTTCATTAGACTTTGAATCAAGTAATTCCCTCTCTTAATATATGTTCAAAATGATAAGTAAAAAATAAAATAATATTTTTAAAATATAGTTAATAAGCAAAGTATACACAGAAAATAACATTATTCAACTTTTTACATTTTATTCATCTTGTCGTATTCACTGGGCCAACAAGCTTTAATCATTGGTAATTATTTCATCAAAACCTCCTCCATCGATCAGAAGGGCCTTTAAATCATTGTTCCTCTTTACTCATCAAAGCATAATAGTTAAAAATTATGTGTGCCAAAATCAGTCACTAAAAAACAATCTTTACTTTCCGATTGAAATTTACTACATTAAAAAATGTTTAGGAGCTAATCTCACACATATTTCGATTAAATTAGTGAAGAAAACTATTCAATGATTATTTCAAGTATTTAAATGAAAATATATTTTTTAGGGAAAATGCACAAGTATTCCCTTAATCTATGTTCGAAATCTCAGAGACACACTTATACTATACTAAGGTTCTATTACCTCCTGGGCTTATTTTATAAGTAATTTTCTATCCCTTTTCGGCCTATGTGGTACTAGGTTGAAAAAAAAAGTCAACCAGCATTGGGATCACAAGATAGTGTCACATAGGCCAAAAAAGGGTAGAAAATTATTAATAAAATAGGTTCAGGGATACTAGGACGTTAGTATAGTATAAGCGTGTCTCTGAAATTTCGGACATAGATTTAGGGGTACTTATGCATTATCCCTATTTTTTATAGTACAAGTTTCTCATTGATTCTCGATAGAAAAAAACTAGATGGACTTATAGTGCAACCATTAAGAAAAGTAGTGCTAGCTTACAAGTCACAAAATTCATTATACTCTACGAAAGACGAAAAGAAATAAAATCAAAAGCCACAAGATTCATTCATCATAACACACTTGAACACAGATTACAACCATTTTTTATTTAAAGTCTTACATATATATATTTTTTTCCATAATACATAAGACCCATATGTATACAACAAGTAAAATGTTGTAAACCTAATTAACAACTAGGAATGCTTACACCACATTGTCCAGCAACTTTCCTAGCATTTGGAGAATTAACATATTGCCTCAAATTAGGATCCTTCATAAATCCACAAATGCAAGGCTGCTGGTTCTTAAGCCTAGCACAACAATCCTGTGATGGTGCGGTCCCACCCTGGATCGCACCCAAACACGGGCTCAGCTGCGAGGCGCTGCATGTCGCCGCCTCGTTAGCCCCAAATTGATCACAAACAAGGATCATCACCAACATTACTGCCACAAAAGAACAAACCTTAGTCATTTTCATTATACAATTTAAATTATAAGAGAAATTTTTTAAGTAATGTAATGGAAGTGATGGATGAAGTAGTGAAAGTGTATGTCTCAATTTATAGTGTGGTAAAGGAAGATTCAAGAGAATGGTGACGAAAGAATTTGTAGTAAATTTGAAGATGATTTGTGGTCTGGCGATTACAGCTAGCAGGTGGTTGGTGACAGATATGTAGTAAACATATGACTACAAATATTGCCGATAGTTTTGTTTTTTTACTTTTTATATATTTGATTCATACGTTATGTTGTCACAAGTTAAGTTTTTGAAAGATGGAGGTTTGTTCACACGTAGAAGTGAGGATTGACACATAAGTCATTTTTCAATATAAAAAAGTCCAAGTATCTTAATATAGTTATAATATACTACAAATCTTGCCGATAGTTTTGTTTTTTTACTTTTAATATATTTGATTCATACGTTATGTTGCCACAAGTTAAGTTTTTGAAGGATGGAGATTTGTTCATACATAGAAGCGAGGATTGATACATAAATCATATTTAAAATAAAAAATTTCAAAGTATCTTAACATAGTTATAATATAAGGAATTAAATGAGGAGATTGATAGTAACGTTATACTTTGTATTGTAGGGATCAATAGATGAAGTAGATGCTCATATGTGGTGTATTGCGTGATAAAATTAGCCATCAAAACTATGAAGTTAAATTTTTATAAAGTGGTTGTTAGATCAACAATATTATATAAAAGAAATTGTTGATCAGTCGAAAATCCAACATAATTCTCGTTGAGGGTATATCTTACCCTTTATATTATACTTATATATAAATAGTTTACATGTCAAACATTTTCGTGTTATTAAATAAACTTTTATACAACATCATCCAATATATTAGATAACAAACAAAACGACTAACATATACTTAACTTGGATTAATCTTAAATAATATAAATGTTAGCAATAATATTACTATGTGAAATTAAAAAGTTATGTTTTTAATGATTGACATATATAAAAGAAAAATGTTAAACAATATACAAATCTCTTATTAAAAATTTGCTTTAAGTCATTCTTGATTATCATACTTAGTTGAAAAAAGTCGGATGAATTAACTTAAAGGAAAAAAAAGGAATAATTGTTAATTTCCCATTTTCAAATACATGATAATAAATTAAATTATAAACTATACAAACCAGAGACAAATAACAAACTATAAACACAAACTTAAAAGAAAAGCAATTGATTAATTGGAAATTAAAATAACACTACCCAAGGATTGATTGCATTTATTAACATTATTTGTTGTAATTTTGAAAATGATAAATGATAAGTAATATTGATACTCTCCAAATTCCTATCCCATAAGAAGTTTTATTTGCTTAAGTTTTCCATGTGAATGCGTTTGTCACATCGATGGTTGGTTCTTACAGATTAATATTTTGAGTATAATATTTGTAAATATCTTTTTCATAAATATCAATTTTAGTTGAGAAATTTTTTGCTGATAATATTTTGTATTTTTTGTTACTTTAAACATCTTGAATCTTTAATTTTTTTCTTAAAAAAAAAAATCCTAATTTTTCTCGGTTATGTGTTAAGAGTTTTTTATTTTTAAATTGATGTGTAATTTATTCTTACTTATATATAAAGTTTCATTGCACTTGAATCTTCTATATTATTATAGTTTTAATGGCTTCTATATTATGAGTTTTAACGGGCTTATGGCTTATTGTACTCTCATCATCCAGATAATACAAAGTAAATATGCCTTTTCAAATGTATACCTCTAAATAATTCGGAAATGGAGCAATTTCCAAAATCATCACCACAATCTTAATTTTTTAAGTTAATAACTTTGTCAAGATTTTGATTCACCCACTTCAAAAGTAGGTTGTTGGGTGATTGAACTTACAAATTCACTGGTCTTATTAAATAGGTAAACAATCGCCTGGTGCCAACAAAATAGAGTAATATTCTTATTTTATTGAATTAACCAATCGACGTTCTGACAAATATTTATTTTGAAATTAAGAAATTTCAAAAAACATTTCTAGCATATTTATTTATTTATTTATTTTATTATTAGTAGCAAAAAGTAAATTATGTGTCCGAGATTGATGTTTTCCTATCACGTCCCTTTCCTAATTGGTTACGTTCTTGCAAATGATCAGCCCAACTTGAATACTAGCATCAATTAGCTAACTAGATCAGTTAATTAAAAAAAAACAGCTAAAAAAATATATATGCAGTTTCACTACCAAAAATATTTTATATTCTGGCGACCGACCTTATTAAACAATGAAAATACTTATCCTTCAAAATTCATCTTTGTTCGAATGATATTAGATGCATTATGTAATTAAGATATATAATATATATATATATATATATATATATATATACACATAACAGACATATCAAACAATCACTTGTGACACCATTGAAATTTGTAGTACTTCCATTGAGAAAAATAGTCACAAACATTATCGCAAATCTAGTCTAATTAAAAACAATGCAAGGGCAACAAAAATACGAAACCGTCCACAATAACTAAAGTTATATAAATACACAATTAAAGATAGCATATCTCAAATATTTTCTATCAATTAAAAAATTACAAAAATTTCTTCATAGATACATCTCTATGCCTTTTGGATACATCCTTGTCCACTCAGATATCCATTTGCAAGTATATCAGACAACCAAGAAATGCACCGGAGAGCAATGAAACATTTGAGATTTTTGTAATGGAGAAGAATTTCTGAATTAGGATATAACTAGCCCCAAATATATGAGATTTCTATATTTTATACTAAATTCAATTTATTTGACAATAAAAGAAAAACTGCATGCAATTGATATGGGATTACAGAAGTGGACATATGTATCTATTTTAATATATGTATATTATCAAAGGTCTGTTGGTTACTGGTTAGAGTACATGAAAACAAGACAGCTATGAATCTCCCATATCATTTTGTACAACTAGTAAATGTATACACTTTCTCCTCGTTTTGTTGTCGAATTCATTACGTTTCTTGTACATAAAGAATGAAATAAATTGCAAAATTTCATCCCTGTGAAGGGAAAACTTCAGCGCAGAATCAACAAATGGAAGCATTGTAGTCTATTGCACAACATACAGAACTTACTTTCCTTTTTAATTCTCCTGCAGATGAAAGAGCCATTATCATTGACTTGGGGGAGTATCCCCAGCGCCCTTTGCTTTTCCTCTGAGCATGTCTGTAAAACCACCTCTCATGATCCGCCTAAATCTAGTGTCTTCTGCTGGTGCTGCATGTGTGAGGACAGGCCTCAGAGGTTCAACTTCCACTGGTGCTGGTGGTGATGTTGGATCTCCAGCTTCCCTTTTCCCTAGTAAACCACCTTCGCCAAAGAAGCTGCTTACTGATGACGCAATTCCCAGATGAGCACCCATTACCTTACTAATCGTATCAAATGTTCCACCAGATCTTTCCCTCATTACGATCTCCAGAGCTTCTTTGTGTGCTGGATCAAGAGAATCAGCATCTTTTAACAGATTTTGAATTGCAGGTAGAAGGAAGTCTCTGACACTTGAAGCAGAAAGATCTGCAATATTACAATCATAAACTGAGTAAAGGAAGATTTCAATGAAATCGTCCAGACAAAATGCCAAAAAGCAGGAAAAGGCAAGTGTGCGACATTTAGGCTTCAATAGTACATGTCGTTATATTTTTGTATTACACTACACAACCAGATAAAAAGAGATCAATAGAACTTCTCCTAGGACCTTCTTCTGACTTCTGCATCCCCTCTGACATTTATTTGATAGATCAGTTGCACCTTCATAGCCTAGAGACTACATAATGAATGCTTTAGTGTTCAGTAGAGACGGTCCCAGCAGTCATCTTCCTGCCAAACCTTCATCGATCCCGAAGGTAACGACGGCCTCTTCACTAATTTGAGAGTTTCCTGACTCTCACTTAACTATCTCAAGACAGGGTTCGTCACTCACTTGTATTAATATGAACAAGAAAAGGATGCACACTAAACCCAACAAATCACAATCAACCATTTATGTTAACTTCGGCATGTATTTAGGTAAAAAATCGGTCAATTTTTAGGTAATTAACTCTTCTTAGATGGGAAAAAACTCAACTAATCACTTTGATCAACCATGATTGCTAAAGGTAGTTTCACAACCAAAAATCAGGATATCAACCACCTGTATCAGTCCACTGCAATACATAGTATATTGTACTCTGATTTATCTCAAGAAGCAGCTAAACCTGGAGGCTGATCATTTTGAAGAACATTTATATCTTCAGAAAGTAAAGAGATGAATGAAAGAGAAGAAGAATAATTAAAAGGAGCAAACCAGTAGCATCAAGAGCACGAATTGATTCACAAAATGTGTTGGCTCTCTCACGACGACGCATCATGTCACTTGAAGGAGGAGGTGTTGCTGTAAGTAAGAAAATCTTGGACAACAAATGTATGCTAAAGTTAAAGAAAGTTGATGAGAATTAGAAATCAAAACTAGTTCTGGCACACATTATAAAAATGCATTGCTACTTCAAGCAGTGCATGAAAGCTAAGAGGTTGAGGATATAATCTCTAAGTCCCTCCGTGGTATGTGGCACTGCCATCACCAATGCACGAACTACAGCTAACGTAGCTTCATGTGATCCATCCTCAAGAAAAGCATCCATTTGAACACGTATTTTATCAACAATCTAGCAAGAAAAGTTAGAACAGAACGTCTCATTAAAGCCTCTAGATGAACACAGAACAAGAATGACATCAGATATTTAAGCAAAAACCCTATACCGCATCATTTTTATACTGCTGCGCCACAGCTCCAAAAGCATCAATACTGGCATATTTCACATTCAAGTTTTGGTCAGAACCAAGCGTTACAAGAGCAGGCAAAACATGTGTTGAGGCAACCTTGGCATCAATACATGGAACCTGGTGAACTAACAAGAATGATCAAAGTCGTAGACCATGCTTAAATTTAAGCAATTTCACAAAAACCAAAGGTCTTACAATGACTTTAAAAAGATTGGCAGCTGTTGCCTTCATGTTTATT